AGAAGGGAAGTGCCGTATCAAAACAGAGGTTGGCCCACTGGTTAGTTGATGCCATCGCCTTCGCTTATCAATGCCAGGGCGAGCCACGCCCTCCTAACATGAGAGCGCACTCTACAAGAGGTGTCGCTTCCTCAAGGGCGTTATCACGCGGCGCCTCTCTCACAGATATCTGCAGAGCTGCGGGTTGGGCGACACCTAACACATAATCTTCGAGTGGAGCCAGTTTCCTCCCGGTTAGTGGGTAACCCCAATCAATTGGGGAGGAGGGGGGGGGGATCTCCCAAACCCGGAGATGCGTGCGCTTTATTCTACTCTGCTAGTAAGTTTCCCTTCTCAGGCGAACCCTAGAGAGTTCCTCCAAGGCCCCCGTCATCGACTCAGCGGAGGAGTCGAATGCATGGCTCAGTGTGTGGTACGCTCATTTGGTCTACACGCATATTGAGGATCGGTGCCAGCTATGTGCATCCCCACTTGGTGATGCCATATGCATTATTACCACGGTGTGTTCCCCCTTATCAGGCGGTCCCGTGTCTTTCCTAACCGCTAACCAGCTTATCATATGTAGCACTCTTTAGGGCTAGTCCATATGCCTCCTTACCATCAGGCCTCCCCTTCTGGGTAGCAGGTGGTCTACGCCGCGTCCTCCTAGGGCTGTGCAATTAATCGAAAATCTGATTTCGATTTTGATTTTGCCTTCTAGTGATTATGAAAAAATGAATAATCGAGATAAACGATTATTGCATTATTTACCGTCCCTTTTCCAGTTGTACACGTGTTGCTAAAAGCGCGAAAGACCGCATGATTCTGTGTGCCGCGCACACAAAGAACAGAAGCATGCAGTCAGCATTCGCTCTCACTCGCACACTGAGATGAGCAGAGCGCAGTCAGCGCACACATCTAAAGTCATCTTAACGTGAGCGCTTTAATGGTCAAATAGGTGTCAAAACGCGGTGTTTAGTGATTATTCATATCAACCATCATTTGTGTAATAAACAAACAAGTTGAGAATCAAAAGCGAAAGAGAAACTATTAAAGAGACAGCGCGCGATAATCCTTCTGCCACCTGTTTTTATGATTATTAATCAAACAACAAATGGAGAACATGCCTCTGCTCTTGACTAAAGGTCTTTTGTAGCTAAAGTGTTTCTTAGAGTGAAGATGCTTAAAGCACAGTTTGTTACATATTTTTATTCTGTTGTATTTATTTCTCTTTCATTTGCAGTGTGAAAAATAACTGTATACAGTTGAAGTCAGAATTATTAGCCCTCCTGAATATTAGCAACCCTTTCCCCCCCAATTTCTGTTTAATGGAAAGACGATTTCTGAACATAATAGTTTTAATAACTCTTTTCTTATAACTGATCTATTTTATCTTTGTCATGATGACAGCACATAATATTTGACAAGATTTTTTTTTTAAATACATGCATTCAGATTCAAAGTGCGATTTAAAGGCTTAATTAGTGTTATTAGGCAGGTCATTGCATAACAGTAGTTTTCTTCTGCAGACAATCAAAAATATATTGCTTTAGGGGGCTAATATTATAGACTTTAAAATGGGTTTCAAAATATTTAAACCTGCTTTTATTCTAGCCAAAATAAAAATGCCTTTCTCCAGAAGAAAAAATATAAGAGGAAATACTGTTAAAATTCCTTGCTCTGTTAAACATGATTTGGGAAATATTTATTTTTTAAAAGGAGCGCTAATAATTTTGACTTTAACAGTAATCGTTTTGAATAATCGTGATTTCAATTATGACTAAAATAATCGTGATTATGATTTTTTCCCAAAATCGAGCAGCCCTACGTCCTCCCCCTGCGGGGACCGACTCTTTTCCAACGTACTGTTGTATTTCAAAAATCCCTAGTCTATATTAGCTAGGTAAAAGCACACTTACGACCCCCGATTAAACATTAAACATTTATTCCCATGTATGGTGATATGTTGGGCCTAGGGGAAGGTTGCACTCTTGGTGATGTCAGTGCGCACATGATTTGGCTTGGCAAACTACACATCGGGAGCGTGACGGGCTTGGTTGCTATGACGCTTTCCATACAGTCTCCCAAAGTCAGTTTATACAGACACACATAGTAGTTCCCATATGAAGGGCAATGTCCAGGTTACATACGTCACCACTGCCACAGCACCTGAGTCTCCACCAGGTAGCTGTGCGATCGGCTCTTCAGCTGGCAAAATTCTGACGAGCTAACTCACACAGCCGACTGATAAAGCCCTAATTGGCTCATCAGTTTCAGCTGTGGAGCTAAGCTCCGCCAAATAAATTGGCATTTCATTGGCCTGTTTTTATATCTTCAGAAATGATTGGTCGTCTAAAGCACTCCCAAAGTCTGTTTATACAGACACACGTCTGCGTTCCCTATTCGCTAATAGCACCCAAAGCAAATTGAACACACAAAATGTATACCATAGTCAAGCTTTAAGTGATTAGACCTCTTCTCACTCATCTATATCCACTAAGCTACAAATAAGCGGGGGGGGGGGTCATCGAGATCTACCTGAGCTCAAACTCCCCTCTCGCCTTTTAAACCAGAGGAAGCAGAGGGCTCAAGGATAATAAGCTCAGGGCTATATCCCGGGACACTATGCCAAATAGCTTTAATTATCAATCATCAGCTAAGTGTAAACTCTTTAAATATATTTAATTCTGTGACAAATAAGCCTCGTTCAATTCAATAGCAATGTTTAACTGACTCACTATAACAACAAGTTATTGTCCAGTGATAAGTCTAGTCTCTATGTGCAAAACAAAGGAACTGGTTTGGCAAGTTATATTTGTCACTGTCAATAATCCAAATGTTGGAGATTTCCAAACCAGGGCAAAGAAATATATAGACAAAAACATCAATAACACAGGCTTTTTTTCTTATATCGACAAAAATGATTTTGTTTCTTCAGGTATATAATATTGTGATTGTTAAAAATTGATATTGTGATTACACAAACACATATAATGTAAAACAAAATAGTACACCTACTGTATTCACAAATCTGCACACATCATGACTTATATAACAAATGTTATACATTCAAACATTTCAAAGTAAGACACAAATTACCATAGCTACTGTAGTTAATGTTTGACATTCATAAGATACTCAGTTTCAAAAACATTAAACTCTATGTGAATTGCCTGTTCTGATATATACAAATTGTGTATGATCCATCTTCTTTTGGTAAAATAATTTATATTTTAGAGATTCTGTAAAAGTTTTGCTAACTTTTCAACAAAACTATGTGTGTGTGTGTGTGTGTGTGTGTGTGTGTGTGTGTGTGTGTGTGTTTGTACCTATAGAGTTAGTTTTATTTTACAAAGTGCATATTCCTGGATCAATATCTATGTTGATCTTGGAACAACATTCCAATAACCCAATCAGATTTAAGAAATAAGTTTATAGTTTGTTAAACTTAAGCTTGCAGATAAAGTTACGTGCTTCTACATGATCATTATCCAACTATTATTCCCCTCTGATGTTGAGAATATTTTACAGATAGGGTTGGGTTTAAGGGTAGGGAATATGTATAGATTACATTTTTTAAACAGAAATGATGTTCCAGGATCAACATAGATGTTAATCCATGATACCCATTTATATGATAACTGTGATTTATGGCAATACAAACAAATGACTCAAACATGACATAAAAGTTTATATTTGAACTTCACATATATAAAATGTCATATATGTATGCAACATATATTTCAGAATATAGGAAAAAAATGCCATATATGTTTTTTTCCTTTTTTAACCATTGAAATTACAAATGTATACATTTATACTACCAGTCAAAAGTTTAGATTCAGTAAGACATGTTAATGTTTTATAATAAACTAATTCTGCTCACAGATGCTGCATTTATTTAATATAAAATACAGTAAAAAAATCATTGTGAAATGTTATCACAATATTAAATAACTTATTTTATTGTATTTTAAAATTTAATTAATTCTGGTGGCATAAAGCCCCATTTTTCAGTGTTACATCATTTTTAAAATATTGAAGTATCAAGATATGGGCCCTGTTTCAGAAATGAGGTTAAGTGAAAACTCAGAGTATTTTAACCCTGAAATGAGAGAAACTCTGGCTTTTCCGTTTCAAAATGGCAGGATTGTTAAACTCGAGAAAGCAGGGTAAGTCAAGCCTGTTTCTGAAAGAGATGTAATTTTTACTCAGAGTCAGTTACTGTGGTAATCTAACCTGCTCAAAATCAAAGTAAAATAACTGAAGCTCTCTGTACTTCATTTTCAGAATATTTATTGTTATAATGTTTTTTTTCCTTTGATGTAGATCTTTTGTACTGCTCCTTGCTGCTTTTGTAACAATTTTAATATATTTTATTTATTTTAATAGTAAATATGCCTTGCAATGTTGATTGTTCCCTGTTTTGTGATGTAAACTTTTTGCAAAAAAAAAAAAAAAATTAAAATAAAAAATCAACAACTAAATCATATTGGGGCGGCCACCACTGGCCACCTTTTGGGGGCACCCCTACCAATGCTAGAATTTAAGCTGAATTTCAGGTTACATAAAAAAGTCTAATTCTGTCATTACTTATTAACACTCAACAAAGTGAGTAGATGACGACTATATTATTATTTTTTCGCAGTTTTGACTTATATGTTGGTTATGAGATTTGAGTTTTCTAAACACTTTTATTGTGATTGTGTATGTGTGTGCGCATTTTTGTATTTGAATACAGTGTGTGTGTGTGTGTGTGTGTGTGTGTGTGTGTGTGTGTGTGTGTGTGTGTGTGTGTGTGTGTTGTGTGTGTGTGTGTGTGTGTGTGTGTGTTGACCCCCTAAAATAGCAGGGGCCACCCAATGTAAAAAAAATTGTAGCTTCGGCACTGTGGCTTTCTTCGTTAAAAAAAAAAGCTAGCTATCCTTTATAAGCAGAAAAATAAACATCAGAGAATTGCGCACTTTTCCCCTCCCCCATCATAGCGTATTGATAAAAGATGAGTAAGAAATACAGCTTACCTACAGTAGAAAATGTATCCGCTGAAAGTTAAAAATCCCGTTCAAATTCACAATGTCGAACATACCTTTACGTGTACACAACTGCAACAAAGAATTAGTATCTTTTTAAAATATCATATCTGAACAAACGTGTAAAATGGCGACATCAACGACGGCTTGTGGTCTACTTTTAGTTTCGATTCTTCTCTCTCCTTGTGCCTCACTCATAAATTGGCAAGCCGTTTTAACATTAAATCTATAACCCGTATGTTTCTAGTACTTATATTTTAGATACTAGTGCTTATTCACCAGATACCAGAAATGGATACTATAACTTATTTTAAGGATACTAGTACACAATTAGTAAATACTAGTGGTTGTTTGAAATGTTTCTAGTTTGGACTAGTCATAATACGAGTAAAAAGGCACTGACTAGTAAAAAAGAATTGTTACTAGTTATAGTTATAAAAAATACTCTAATAAATAAATTCTAGTACTAATGAATAACTACAAGTATCTATTTAATAGTCACATCTAATGAATTGGTGCCAGTATCTATTTAATAAGTACTAGTAAGCTATGTATTAAATAGATAATAGTATCTAATGAATAAGTACCTATTAAATAGAAACTAGTGTTAAATGATTAAGTACTAGTACCTAATGAATAAGTACTAGTATCTAATGATTAACTACTAGTACAAAAATATATGTACTAGTCCCAGCTGGAATACACACTAGTCAAAACTGAACAGTTGATATCTCAATGACAGATCCCATAGAAATCAATAGAAATTTTTTTAAATGTGTTACTATAGTAACAACAGAATAGTTACTAATCACTATTAAAATAAGAACTATCAATTTAATAGGTACTAGTACCTAATGAATAAGCACTACTACATATTAAATAGTAATAAGAACTAGTATCTAATAAGTACTAGTAATGAATAAGTACTAGTATCTGTTTAGTAGGTATCTAATGAATGGGTACTAGTATCTAATAAAGTGAGCACTACTGTGTTTTTATAAAGGACTATCTAAAGAATAGGCACTAATATCTAATGAATAAGCATGTAGTATCAAATGAACTAGTAACATGAAAATAGATACCAGTATGGGCTATAGATTAAATGTCAAAACAAATTAGCTTTCAAATTAGCTTTAAATCCTCACTGCGTTAGTCATATCAATTCACTCTATTATAATGTATTGTGGGTTCTTCTAATAATGTGCAGGCTAAAAAACAAAAACATGAAAATTTATAATGTATAATGTTCTAAAGTAAGGTGAGGCAGTGGTTTACATGTGGGCATTCCAACACACTCTCTAACCCTCTAAATATCGCCATTTCCCTTCCCCCCCCCCAATACAAAAGATCCTCCCTCTAGTTTAGTTCAATCATCAGTTGTTAGGCAGAACAGCAAATCTACACAGTCAAAGTTATGCATACACTTAACAGAGCCTGCAAGAGAGTAAGCTTGAGCCCCTGCAGTCCGTTATTGTTCCTGTAAATGAGCACACTCTGGAAGAAACAATGTAACATTCCGTTGATAAAAAGTACAGAGGAGTTAACTTCTTGGTTATCAGTCACAAAGGCACAGCTGTTATGGAGCAAAATTAAATGAGGTTAAGCACATCCGCATAAGTTCCTGTAATTAGTTAAAAACAGAATTAAAATATTAATGCGAAGATTATTTTATTAATGCATAGGATGAAGTTAAAATCATCAGACATTCCTTCAATGACAAAGCAGATTTTTCTTAAAAACTATTTATTGCATTGTTGTTTACAGTCAAGCAATCAACATAAAATAAAATTTAAACATGACTGTTGTAAAAAAGATATATGAAATAAGTAGTGTTTTTAACAAAATCAGTTATTAAATTAATAATTTTCAGTAACTTCTCTATGTAAAAAAATTATACTGTAGCACATTTCACACACAATGGTAATTCAAAGTGCTTTACATAAAGAAGGTAAAACTATCATAAAAATCCCAACAGTAAAAACAAGGAATTAAAAAAGGTTTAACATGTTAATTAAAATAATAAAGGCACTTAAGCACATAAATTGTTGATAATACAAAAAATACAATGGGGTCCATTTAGATGTAGCACAGTGCTTATTTAGTAATTGCAATGCATATGAAATGGCCTTGGCATGTTAGTTGCAATGCACTATGCACAAGCTATTTTAAACAATTAATTGTTAATTTTTAACAATTAACGTTAAGTAATATTTTAATCGGTAATATAGCAGATTCATGGAAAATTACATTGGTAATTAGCATTTTTGCCGCAACAAATTTATAAATGAATTTGCATCAACTACATTAAAGAGAATCTTTTCATTTAAAGTGAATTAAATATTGGAGTTCAGGATTACTTGCAGTCACACACCTGGCTCGTGTGTGTGTGTGTGTGTGTGTGTGTGTGTGTGTGTGTGTGTGTAGAGTAGGTGAGATGAGCTGGGGAAAAGGCAGGCAGTGGGCCAAACAACTGTGAGGAAGGGGAGGGGAAACTGAACTGTTTCTAAATGCATGTTTTTTTGCATTTGTTTTATTTCTACTTACACAATTATTTAGGAATACATACATATATTTTTCATGTACCCTTCACCCAACAATGGATCTGGGATTTACATCCATGCTAAGCATGTAATTTTGTCAATCCTGAAAAGAAGATAAAGGTTAGATCCAACAACACCTTATTCAGTTTTGACAGTGCTCCCCTAAAAGCAGGGCCGGATTAACCAATGAGCCTTATGGGCACAGGCCCAGGGGCCCGTGCGCACTCGAGCCCTTGCGAGGGGAGGGAAAAAAAGCCAATTTCGGAGTGTCTTTTTAGGCTAAGTGCAAATAGCGCTCCTAAGGTATTCACGGTGATTGACAGAGGCAACATGAGTAGAAGCAGGATTACAGCATGAGTGGCGTACCTCGTAAATTTCATATTTGCATATTTTCATATGTGTTACAGCATCTAAATAGTGATTATATTCTATGAACAGTTATTTTCCACCTGGTGTTAAATGTTAGCAACATAAGGTTTATATTATTATATATAATTGATCTATGCTGTTTGCCTACTCTTCATCATGAGGAGAGTCGAGAAAATACATGAATAGGAGGAGAGAAGTGTGTGTATTATCAAAGACTCAGATTCATAGATCCAGACTGGAGGCATTGTGTTATATGCCATGCCAATAATATGCTTTAAATATGCCTTAAAAAAAAACAACAAAAAAACAATGTGTGTGTGTGTGTGTGTGTGTGTGTGTGTGTGTGTATTAGCACTATATTATATATAGTACTGTTTCAGTGAACTTGAATAAGTATAATATAAAAAGCATTAATTTTCACTAGTTTTATTAGTATTTTTTCAATGCTATGAAAAATAAGGCAAATCTTTGTAGACTATATATATATATATATATATATATACACACACACACACACACACACAGTTGAAGTCAGAATTATTAGCCCCCCTTTGAATTTTTTTCTTTTTTAAATATTTCCCGAATTATATTAACAGAGCAAGGAAATTTTTACAGTATGTCTGATATTATATTTCTTGAGAAAGTCTCATTTGTTTTATTTCGGCTAGAGTAAAAGCAGTTTTTAACTTTTTAAACACCATTTTAAGGACAAAATTATTAGCCCCTTTAGGCTCATTTTTTTTCCGACAGGAAACCATCAATATACAATATCTTGCCTAATGACCCTAACCTGCCAAATTAACCTAATGAACCCAGTTAAGCCTTTAAATGTCACTTTAAGCTGTATAAAAGTGTCTTTAAAAATATCCAGTCCATTATTATTTACTGTTATCATGGCAAAGATAAAATTAATCAGTTATTAGAGATGAGTTATTAAAACTATTATGATTAGAAATGTGTTGAAAAATATTTCCTTTTTTAAACAGAAAACGGGGGAAAAAAACAGGGAGGTGAATAATTCAGGGGGGCTAATAATTGTAATAAAGGCTAATAAAGACTTCAACTGTATGTATGTGTGTGTGTGTGTGTGTGTGTATATATATATATATATATATATATATATATATATAATTTATTTAAATATGTGGTCAACAAATTATAGATCCATTTCCTTTAAAAAACATTATTTTATTCTTATTTCCTAAATTCAACTATAGGGGGCCTTACAAGACAGTTTGCCCAGTGGCCCCTGAGTTCTTAATCCGGTCCTGCCTGAAAGGAAGACATGCTAAGTCTTCCTTTTCATCAATTCACATTACTGTAGCACTATATTATGCATTAACTAGCTTTTGTATTGGTTCATTGAATTTTGTACAAATAATTGTCAGCATGAGTGGTCAGTTACAGTGAAACTGAATAAACAACAGCAATTAAACTAAATTATATAAAAAAGTAAGTGTTAAAATATTTTTGTCAACATACTGGCATAATCATAGATGTACTATCTTAAAACATTACACTCTGCTGTGCATGGTTAAATACTAGCTGTTGTCCTCTGTAAGTTAACTATAAGTCTAAAAAAAATAATGTTTTAGAATAACAAAAATATAGCACAATCATATACTACAAAACATGTATTGAACAACTAAGCACATAAAATTGATACTCTTAATTTTATAATAAAGTTAGTGAAATGTGTATGTGTTCTATTTTTTATTTTTATTTTTACATTTATATCCAACCACCACACGGAGTTTTTATTTTCAAAAACAGCCCTCAGTAGCTGGAACATAGCATGGACGGTTGGTGTGATATACCTGTTTTGCCATGGATATATTTTTACTGGTAAGAATACAAAAAAAAAAACATAGCTCTGTAACTGGTGTGAGTTATAATTTGAACAGGAGTGCACTGATTCGTATTAGTAGAAAATGCAATTACGATGAGTAACACTGAATGATTAAAGCTAAGTTGGCTTGCCATATTTAAAAGTTACATCAACTAAGGGAGGGGTCAGACTTCGGGAAGTTCAGGCACCTCCCAAATTTGTTTTGTAACAAACTAAAGGATCAAGCATTGTAGCTACATTTTATCTGACGAAGTAACAATTGAAACACGCTGTTTATCACATTCATAAGTAAGGTGTTTACTCAACAGAGTAAGCCCTTTTTAGTATGTGAACCAAATTTGTGTAGGCTACAAATAACCACTGGGTAGGGAAGAACGGGGTAATGTGAGACATTGGGTAATGTGAGACACCCCCT